ATGAACAATATATATAATAAATAAACAGAGAGGAGATGCAGCCAGTTCAGGACACCGGAAATGGTTCACCTGATATTATACGTGTATTGAAGAAGATGAACAGTGACAAGAGGAATAAGGTTGTGTTTGGGGGTAGTAGCCTGTTATCCTTTTCCCATTTTAATTTATTTGTGGATAAGATTGGCTTTGTTGTCACATTTTGATTGGATTTTGAAATTATCAACAGCCACAACATCAAGTCAAGGGCTTAACTGTCAAAACTACGTTGTTTTAATTAACGAGTAATTTGGTCTAAAAAATTACCTCAAAAATTTATTAGACAGTCATCAGTTAGATCCCCTAAAGATAGTTGAGGGGTTTTTTTGTCAGAAACATTCTTTAGAGGGTTTTCTGGCAAGTGATTAATAGTCAAGAGGGGTTTATTGTAGTTCACCCAAATTTTATATATGCAAAAGTAATCAATTTTTGGTCAATTTTCTTTTATAAAATTATGTATTTATATATCAATACTTCTTTTTAAAATAAAATTTGAATTTTTCTTAATAATTATACTTATAATATTATTGTACAAAAAGTTACATTTTAATGTTCAAAATTTGTTTAAAATGTATACTTGATCAAATTATCTTACAAGTATTGGATATATATATATATATATATATATACACATTTAAAAAGTATCAAACATGTATCCATAAGTATCAAATAAGTATCCGTCCTCCTTAGGCTTGGACTCAGATGGCTCAAAACTTAAAAAGTGAAGTTTAAACTTAACTTAATTCGTTTTAATTTAGGATATCATTTTTTTACTACTTGTGGGATGGTTTACCAAAACGGATGAAGATGGGTGGAGGGATACAATTAAAAAGGGGTTAATCCATTAAATATGGGTATGCCCGATTGTCATAAGGGCAATTTTGTTTTTTACAAAATATTGGTGATTTACATGACCAGAACAATGCCGCATTGGGGTATTTTGCAAAAAAGAAAATAGCGGTTAAGTGTCAAAATAGTAGTTCAGGGGTTTTTTTTTTAGAGGGAAAATAGTTCAGATTTTTTTTTTGCACTTTACCTTAAATATTTTAGCAACTAAAATGGGAATCCTAATTTCGTTCAATTAATATTGAATAATGATTTTCTAACTTTTTTTTTAGAATCTTCCCTCCTTGTTCTTTTCTTCTTTTTTTTTTCACAGAGCTTTAATACAGTTTAGTGTTGGGTTTTATGGCTTGAATTCGGTGTGCAAGTAATGTTCTGGGAGAAGTAAATAGGTTAAAGTTATTTGGAACTGGTTCAATATTTTCTTGAACCCATTGGACATTATTTTAACCCCAATTGAACCAGTTCAAGAAAAAGTGAACCAATTGGACGTTAAAATTAGAAGAACGTTATTTTAGAGTTGAAGAATGATATAATAATTCCTTGTAGACAAACTGGGAATACTTGTACAACAAGGAATCGAGTTTGAAGACCATAAATAGAGATGGATTGAGATCAAGGTGCATAGAGAGAGAGAGAGAGAGAAAAGATGTAAAGGGTTTAAGGGTAAGTGTTGTGATTAGAGGAGAGTATATGTAATTCTCGAGTGTATAGACCTCAAAAGGGATGAATAGTGAATGAATGAGGTTTTGATATCTGGTTGTATATTTTCTTCCTTGATACGGAGTATATACTAGTGAAATCTCTCTCCATTGACGTAATCCTAAAATTGGTTGAATCATATAAAATATTATATTATACGTGAATATGTATAATTATTATCTCTATATATACTTATATCCATATGTGTCCATGTATGATGATCATACTTTCGTTATGTGTAATGGAGATAAAATTTAACTCCCAACAACCAATCCTTAATTGAATTGGAGAGAGTTAATTTTTCCTGACATTTAAGACGTTTACTATAGATTTCACATTAATGAGTCATTCCTTAAATGACAAAACAACAAATAGAAGCCACTCAGCATTCACCAACTTTGATGAGGAGATCTGGAAAACAGAGGAATGGCTTTTTTACAAATTTCATACTACGTGTTACAAAAGTTATATGAACAAATTTTATAGTACAAGAGGTTTTGTGAAACTAACCCTTTTTCTCACAAGTTTTGTAAAGAACCGAGGGACACTATTTCGAAGCAAAATATTTGCTTCTTCTTGCCAATCTAGTAACCACTTAAGAGACCTTTAACCAAAATCCTGGTGAGCCCAAAATCTTGAATCACCACATGTCAAAAAAAAAAAAATTTAGTTTTACTGTATATTAATTCACAGCCCGGTTCATATACAATACTATTCTTCTTCTTAGCCCGGTCCACTTTACAATTCTGGTTCCTCCCCTGCTATAAATGTCATAGTGAGGTAAAAATACGAGCCTCTAACAAGAATTTCAAAATCTTCACTGCAAGCACATTTTCACAAGTTGTGTCGTATTGCATTCAACGGTCCACATCACATCAATATGTGAGTAACATGTTATGTAGTGTGGATCATCAAATGCAATATGTCACTTTTATTGTACTACAATTTGAACTCTTAAATGAATCCATTGCATAGTTTAAGACCCCCAAAACTTGTTTCACTTTTTTTATATTAGTTTTCAGTAACTAGTTTTCATCTTATATTTTTCTCTTAATTTTTAGAGATAAATCTTTAACATATTTTTATATTTCTTTATAGTTTTAAGTTTTCTCTTTTATATATATACTATTGCAAACAGGAGGCACTTCAAAATTCACTTTGCCTAAATTTTTTGAATTCAATATTGTTTTATTATTCAGTTCATAGGTCTCACCCGTAATTAACAGTCCAATATCCAGTGTAATTATAGTTATTGAAAGTGCTTAATTGGCACAAATTTAAAGTTAATTAGTATTAAATTATGTTAAGCTCGCTCACTAATAAACCTTTGTTCGGTCTGGTAGAAAATTCCATAACATTAGTGGCAATCAAATTATCACATATGAACTGGGAAGTTGAAAGCTTAAATATTTCTCTTATATATAGTGTGTGTGTGTTGGTTTTGACATTTCAGCAACCAAAATGGGAATCCTTCAATTAATCACGAATAATAATTATTTTATTTATTTCTTATAATGGGGCTTTTGTTGGGATTTATATGCCCTGACATAGCAAATTCCTATTTGGATTAAAGTGACATATGTTCCTAACGTTTATGAAATATTTATGTTTTTATACAATTGGTGAATTCAATGTATTATGTTTCGATTCATTATAGAATTGATAATGTCCACTTGATTACAAGAGATATTTATATATGTATGTGATGGCGATCAATACATTTATATAAATAGTAATCATAAATGGTTCATAGTCGGTAATTATGGATGGACTCATAATTAATTAAGACTTGAACTGAATCCGCGTTAGGTTGAGATATATTGCTAGAGCCGTCGTATGCAATTGCTCCCTATCACCGTCATGGCATTTGACTCTTAAGTATGAGAAAATTATAAACTCTTTTATTAATTAATAATTACTTTGATTTGTTCGGCGGATTCTTCGGGATCCTTAGATCGACACTTTGGGTAGTTATGTAATTAATAGTTAGAGGGTTATATTTTCATTATTTGCATCATTGCTACTTGTATTTTTTTGTGTTGATTATGGTTGATCACAAAGTAAATTCGAAGGCCTTCGTATGTTTTTTAGACAAAATGATTTATTATATATTTATTTATTTAAATTATTATTTTTGTCAAACAAATGTTTTATTGTGATCGAGCCAGAAATAATCAAAGGTACCAAAATAAATATATTAATTAAGTAGTCGGATTGATGGCTTTATTTATCCGATAACTAATTATGCATAGAGGGGTCAAAGTGCAATATTGACTTAGAGGTTACTTATTATTTAATTGGAGTTCAATTAATTTCTTTTAGTGGAGTAGAAATTAATTTATGAATTAATTGAATTGGGTCCATGGACCGGGCCAATTATTAATTCATTGTAGCCAATAAAATAATAGGCCCAATGGATTCTCACTCATAGCCCAACTTGATATTGGAATCATATTAGATTTGAGACATATGAATTAGAGATGGAGAATGATTTGTTGTTTCCTTTTCTTTATTTTTATGTTGGTTATAAATATACATGGTCTATGTATATTTTAGGGGTGTGATTTTTGGAAAGAAGGAAAAATGAATAAATTTTCTCTCTCTAGAAAATTAGGGTTTATGTTCTCATCTAATGGAGGCTTCCACAAGCCTAATTTTCCAAGGTCATTCATGGAGGCATATGAGTGATTCCTAAAGGCAAAACAATTACCAAGAAGATGGAGATCCAAGGAGAACGCATCTTGCTAAGGGATAAGTGAGAACATTCACTTTAGAGGAGAGATCTAAGGTTTACTCAAATCTTGATGTAAGTATTCAATCTTTTAATTGAATGATACATCATGTTTTATTTTTGCATAAAACTTGTCTCTATGTAATGAAATCAAGATCTATGAATTTAAATCCCTCAAAAAGTTTTTAAAACTAGCACGTTTTCCTAACAGTGGTATCAGAGTATGGTTTGATTCATTACTAGAGATCATGATAAACTCATCATTCATGGATCCAAAATTATATTCATATATATTTTTATTGATGTATGTTGATGTATGATTTAATATGTTGATATATATTGATACATGATGATGTATGAATAATTGTGAATGAATGATGATGTATGGTTGGGCCATGGATGAAGCTTATAGTAATATTGAATGTAATTTTATCTTTGGATGAATGTAATTAAGGCTTTGATTTAGCCGTTTGAAAGTTCAATAATGTAATTTATTTTTCCCATTGTATTTCAAGTTGTAAATATTTTTAAAGCCATGTAATATTCATCAAAAGATGCTATGAAGTTTCAAGAAGGTCCAAAAGGGTTAAATTATGCTTCAGTAATTTTCTGGAATTTTTTGGAATTTTTCTGAAATTTTTTGAGGCTTAATTTAATTTTCTGGGAATTTTTCTGATTTTTCTGGAATTTATCGGCGATTATCCGGCGATGGAGCGTCGCCGGTGGCAAGGGCAGTGCCGGAAGGAATATTAGATGATTCAGTGCTTCGCGATCCACCAGAAGTAGGTGCAACCACATATAGAAGCCAATGATTGTAATCAACATGAGAGAAATAATCCTGTGTAGTGCAACTGTGGTGCAATCAGCCAAATTGAAGCTGAAGGAATTACTGGCGCGTGAGGAGCACGCGCCAGTCAAGTTGAAAAGGTCAACTACCTGGCGCGTGAGGAACACGCGCCAGGTAAAGCAAGCATCTTCCACGCGCGCGTGTAGGCGCGTGGAAGAGCGTCCATGCGCGTGCCACGCGCTGCAGCGCCTTCCAGGCGCGTGCAAGCGCGTGGGGGCGCGTGCCTTCACCTGGTGCAGGCCCAAGGCGCTTGTGAGCGCATGTGGGGCCCTCCGGGCGCGTTCCAAGTGCTGTTTTGCTTCTCCTAGAGCGTACCAGCTCTCTACAGGTGTTGACAAGCCGTTGATGGACGCCCGTACAACAAGAATAGTATTTAAATGTTAAAAGTTGAATCCATTGGTCATTTAAATTGTTTCTGTCTGTTATTTATTTATTTAACTGATGCATGGAATAATTAATTGTTTATTATTATTATTCATGCATTGGATCCATGATATTTATTTAAATGGCTTGATATATATTAATTAAGTTATGAAAATTAATTGGATCTGATTACTAATTAATTTGAGGGCACTTATTGGGAAACGCAAAATTATTTTTTGTAAATTATTTTTAAAACGTGCTTCAAATTAAATATTAGTGAATCGTTTAAAGTCCAAATATTTTCTAAATTTAATTGGATTAAAATCAAGACGTTTTGCATGCATTATATCATGTAAATGAATAAAATGAAAACCCTAATTATGGATGATTAAAAATTGAGTGGGAGCGGGGATTTTTATACATTACCCCATGGCCTTCGTTATTAACACCATTGTAATTAGGTCTTCAAAAATAAGGCCCCACGCATGATTTGAAGAGTCTTAATATTACAAGAATGGTTATCTCATAAAAATAATAATATTAAATGTTTATTGTAATTAGATCTTTAAAAATAAGGCCCTACGCATGATTTAAAGAGTCTAGATTATAATGACAAGATATTTAATGTTTTATTTTTCATTAGAGTTTTAATAACGTTATACACTCAATCTAAAATCAATAGTGTTAGCTCCCCAACGGAGTGGTCTACACTAGGTGATTTTAGAAAGGCTAAACATAATCGGGAATTATTTCATATAGATAGACAAGACATTGTCTTAAGAAATATGGAGATGATGGGATTTGTCCGCCAATAACAATAATAAACTTCGCCAACCGAATAAGTTATTGGTGTATTGGTTATCCGATTTTTCATGCAGTGGTTAAGGGACCCACATATTATTATTTTAATGGAAGTGCTCGCCTAATAGCAAATGAATCTCAATAATAGTAATAATGAACTCCTTCAACAGGATAAGTTATTGACATATTGATTGGTTGATTTATTATGCTACAGAGTTGAGGGACCCACATTAATTAAAAGGGATTGTTCACCAATAATGATAATGATCTCTTATTCGATTGAGATTTATTGTATTATGTGGTTAACAAGCTCATTTTAATTTTAAATATGCATGGCAGTATTAATAATTCACCTTGCATATTGTATGAATGCATTTATATTCAGACTGATTATGTCTAATCCATTTTATCTGCTTGCTAATTTCAATGTATGTGAGCTTCATTTATAATGACTAGAAAAGGAATTTAGATATTTTATTCACAACGTGGTGGTACAAATGTATTTACTACTCCTAAAACCTAATCATTTTACTTTAAGATACCCAAGAGAACATTAATGCTTTGAATAAGTGAAATAAGGCAAATGAGATGACTTGGTGCAATATTCTAGAGTTTACCTCGAATACCCTCCAAAGCTAACATTTACATTATTTTATTTTCTTCAAGCATCATGTTAAAATTTAATAAGATGTTTTGGTTAGATTAGATAGAGAGTATGCTAAAGTACTATATCAGACTTGAATAGCATCAAGATAGCCTAAGGAACTCCAATATGAAATCGAATTTTGGAAAATGATTGTTTATTATTTAAAAAATTAATTGGAGATCAATAGGGCTGACTTAGGTGGTAAGTTTCAAGTTAACATGATTATTGCCTTGTTACCAAACTCGTTCGACTCTTTTAGAGTGAACTAAATAAGGAATCAGTTTGAGTTTATACTCGCTAATATTCTTATAGAATTGGTAACAAATGAAAGGATAATCAAATAGTATAAATATTCCTATCAATCTAATCTAGTCTATACTATCTTCTTCTAGGCCCAGGTGGAAGGGCAAAGGGATGATAATAGGACTAGGCTAGCACAAAACATGGGTATCCAAAAGGTTAAAGGGAATAAGGCAGTGTATGTTGAGGGCAAAGAAAACTGTTTCTTTTGTCGCTAACTAAGACACTAAAGGACAAACTGTCTAAGCAATGACGTGGCATAGGAAAATATATATTTAATCATTGAGCCATGTTATGTGGTTGTATCTATGAATTCCTGATGAATAGATTCTGAAGCCACTAAACATGTTTGCAATTCATTGTAAGGATTTCAAGAATCCAGAAGCCTCGATGATATGGAATATATCTGTACTTGACCTGATGTCAAGGTTGTAGCTAAGTCAGTGGGAGTATTACATCTGAAATTAGAGAGTATGAGGATATTAGTATTAGAGAATTATCTTTATGCACAGAGGTTAGATGCTATCTAATTTTTGTTTCACTTGTGGTTTATAAAAACTGTGTTGTTATTTTCTAAAACTGGTTTTATAAAATTGAATAGATATGCGATTGCTTCTGGTGCATTGAAAGATAGTTAATATACTATAATCACAAACTCTTAAGATTTGCAGGATGTAGAAACTAATGTTGCATCTTCTAGATTGAATGTTAAGAGAAAAATTGTTATTCCTGACTCATTGTATTTTTAATGTCTATTTTTGGGTTGTTATCAATCAAAATAAGATTCAAAGATTGGTCAAAGAAGGTTAATTACCTAGTGAGGCAGGGGAGCCTAAACCAAACTTGTGAACCCTGTTTTGAAGGATAGATAACTCTTAGGGCTTAATCAGCCAGATGAAATAGACATAAAGGACAATTGGAGTCGGTACACACTGACACGTGTGGTCTTATGAACATCCAAGCAAGATTACTCACGTTTTGGATAAGTTTATCTGATGCAACACAAGTCTTAAACTCTTGGTATTTTCTGAGAAGGTTAAGACTGATGTGGAACACATATTAGGTAAACTTGTCAAGACACTTCGATCTGATCGAGGATATGAGTATTTCTTGGGATAGTGCAAAAACTATATGGTCAATGAGGGTATTATGTACCAGTTTTTCGCAATTGACGCTAAATGTATTTAGGTGTCAAATAGGAATAACAGAATTCCACTTAACATGGTTAGATCTATGATCAGCTATGCTACATTATCTCTTTCATTTAAGAGTTTAGCGTTAATGACATCGATGCGCATTATGAACTGCATTCCATCTTAGTCTGTCTCAAGGATACCGTTGAGCTGTGTTTTTTTACTAAATATTAGTTTGAATCATATGCACATATGGGGTAGTCTTGCACATGTGCGCTTGATATGGACAAGTAAGTTGGAAGCAGATCATAGGCATGCTAGATTTGATAGCTACTCTAAATGTCACTAGGATGGATTATTTTATGATCTCAAAGATAAAAGTTGATTGTTTTCACTCACTGTTTATCTATAGGAGAATCATATTATGAATCACATACCTAGTAGCATAGTGTTAGAGAATATGGTATGAGTACCAGATGTACCACATATGAACACACTTAGTATAGAGATTTAGAATTATAGATGAATTCCCTATTGATGCGTTAGCATCATCTAGTACACAGATTCCTTCATCGGTACATTGATGTAGTGGGAAAATAATTATCCAATCCGACAAAATCATGTTTTTAAGTGAGACCGTTATGGACATCCCTGTTAAACATGAGTTGGACCTAGTAAGCTACACGGAAGCATGAACCGATATGGATACAGATCGTTTTGGCGAGTTACTATGAAATCAGAGTTGGAATCTATGTATTCTAATAAATTCTGGGATCTTGTAGAACTTTCTAGTAGGGTGATACCTATGGAAGGCAAGTTAATCTACAAAAAGATACCAGAAGATTTCTTAGTGAATAAATCATTAGTGTACAAGGGAATGTCATTATTTTTCTTAATTCTATATATTGATGACATCCTACTCATTTATAATGACGTGGAAGTTTTGTCATCAATAAAAATGTAGTTGTTCAATTACTTTTAAATGAAGGATTTTCAAGATGTAAGTTATATTCCTAGGATCAAGCTTTTGCAAGATCAGGTTAAAAGGAAATTAGGCTTATCTTAATAATCCTACATTAATAAAGTTTAAACCAGGTTTGATATGCATAACTCAAAGAATGAGTTCTTACTTTATTGATATGGATGGCTCTCTCTAGTAAGTAGTTTTTCAAGACTATCAAAGGAGATTGAGCAAATGAGACTGGAATAATATGCTTCGGCATATGAGAGTCTCATATATACCATGGTCTATACCAAACAGGACATCCGCTACATAGTAGGGATAGTCAGTAGAGATCAGTCCAATACTGGACTTGATAACTGGTCTGTTGTGAAAAATATCATTAAGTACCTAAAGAGGACCAAGGATATCATACTCATTTATGGATATGATGATATGGCCCTAGTCAGGTATGCTAGTTCTGATTTTCAATCAGAAGTAGATACTATGAGGTTCATGACTTAGTGTATGTTCACTTAATGGAATGGAAATCAGTTGGTAGATTGTTAAGTAGATTTCAACTGCTGACTCAAACCTGCAGGTGGAATATATTGCAGCATTAAGGCGGTATAGGAAGCCTATTGGTTTGATCTCACTGATTTAGAGGTTGTGGAGTATACTAGCCTGCCTATTGAGGTATGTTGCGATAATAGTGCAGAAGTAGTCCAAACCAATGACCCAAGGTTCTATAGAGGAACAAGATACACTGAGAGGAAGTATCATGTTCTACATGATATTGTCCGGCAAGAAAATGTACTTGTAGCTAGAACATTGCATTGGAACACAACTTTGTTGATCCATTATCAAAGGTGTCATTGATCAATAATTTTGATCATCATCTAGATAACATTGGAGTTAGGTGCAATTTGAATTGGCTATAAGGGCAAGTGAGAGCTGTTGGGATTTATATGCCCTGACATAGCAAATTCCTATTTGGATTAAAGTGGCATATGTTCCTAACGTTTATGAAATATTTATGTTTTTATACAATTGGTGAATTCAATGTATTATGTTTCGATTCATTATAGAATTGATAGTGTCCACTTGATTACAAGAGATATTTATATATGTATGTGATGGCAATCAATACATGAATATAAATAGTAATCATAAATGGTTCATAGTCGGTAATTATGGATGGACTCATAATTAATTAAGACTTGAACTGAATCCGCGTTAGGTTGAGATATATTGCGAGAGCCGTCGTATGCAATTACTCCCTATCACCGTCATAGCATTTGACTCTTAAATATGAGAAAATTATAAACTCTTTTATTAATTAATAATTACTTTGATTTGTTCGGCGGATTCTTCGGGATCCTTAGATCGACACTTTGGGTAGTTATGTAATTAATAGTTAGAGGGTTATATTTTCATTATTTGCATCATTGCTACTTGTATTTATTTTGTGTTGATTATGGTTAATCACAAAGTAAATTCGAAGGCCTTCGTATGTTTTTTAGACAAAATGATTTATTATATATTTATTTATTTAAATTATTATTTTTGTCAAACAAATGTTTTATTGTGATCGAGCCAGAAATAATCAAAGGTACCAAAATAAATATATTAATTAAGTAGTCGGATTGATGGCTTTATTTATCCGATAACTAATTATGCATAGAGGGGTCAAAGTGCAATATTGACTTAGAGGTTATTTATTATTTAATTGGAGTTCAATTAATTTCTTTTAGTGGAGTAGAAATTAATTTATGAATTAATTGAATTGGGTCCATGGACCGGGCCAATTATTAATTCATTGTAGCCAATAAAATAATAGGCCCAATGGATTCTCACTCATAGCCCAACTTGATATTGGAATCATATTAGATTTGAGACATATGAATTAGAGATGGAGAAGGATTTGTTGTTTCCTTTTCTTTATTTTTATGTTGGTTATAAATATACATGGTCTATGTATATTTTAGGGGTGTGATTTTTGGAAAGAAGGAAAAATGAATAAATTTTCTCTCTCTAGAAAATTAGGGTTTATGTTCTCATCTAATGGAGGCTCCCACAAGCCTAGTTTTCCAAGGTCATTCATGGAGGCATATGAGTGATTCCTAAAGGCAAAACAATTACCAAGAAGATGGAGATCTAAGGAGAACGCATCTTGCTAAGGGATCTACAATAAGTGAGAACATTCACTTTAGAGGAGAAATCTAAGGTTTACTCAAACCTTCATGTAAGTATTCAATTTTTTAATTGAATGATACATCATGTTTTATTTTTGCATAAAACTTGTCTCTATGTAATGAATCAAGATTTATGAATTTAAATCCCTCAAAAAGTTTTTAAAACTAGCACGTTTTCCAACAGCTTTATCGTAATTTAGGACATTTGTTCAAGATTTCACATTGATGAGTCATTCATGACAAAACAGCAAATGGAAGCCACTCACCATGGAGGATATATAGGATATCTGGAATTGAACAAAACAGAGGAATGTAATATTACACGAGTGATATGAACAATCTATAGTACAGGGGGAGGTTTTGTGAAATTAATCCTTTACAATCCTAGTATACCATGGATGGTTAAAAATATGAGCCTCACAGAGAATTCCATAAGTTGTCGACTTTATCACAAGCTCATTTTCATCAACTGGAGGGAACTCTGAAGCAATAGTGATTGGGTGAAGTGAGGCGGCATCATAATTGGGATCCTTCTCATCGTCCTTGTAAACCAGACAAACCCCACACTTGTTCACCGACCAGCCATTACACTGGTCTCTTACTGTTATCTCCATTTCATCTCCACTGTACAACATATAATTATGCAAGCAACGCCATAGATAATGTAACTGGTTTGGTACGTAGGTGAGCCACATCTGATCTTCAACTCTCGGATGATCTTCAATTCTTAAATGATCAAAACCAACTATTTGTGCTTCAAATTGATATGTAAACATCATGGTTTTATTTAAAAACTCACATACAATGTTAAACGAGCGAGTGTGTTTTTGGGAGCCAAGATATTCTTTCCAGCCGCCAGAAAAAGCAACACAGAGAATATAGCCTTGTAATATCCGACCCACGAGCTGAGGCACCCGAAAACTTATAACATTTCCATCACTCTGGTAGTTGCACCACCTCGGAATCTCACTCCCGGGAACAACAATACTATACTGACCTATTTTTCGCAGTCCCTACATTGGAAGAAATTATTACTAGAATGGTCCTGAACTATTCAATAATTTCTCCTACATTGTACCTACGAGTTGGGACGAAGCCAGAAATTATGTTTAGGAGGCACAATGTAATAAAAAATAATAAGAAAGGGGAATTTTAATATCTTAAAGAATTATACATACAAAATTGAAACTTTTTAAAAGTATAGGGGATATTTTTAAAAATTTTAAAAAATATTCAATTAACCTCACTCACTGTCCACAAGCTCTAACTTAATTGATTTTTAGTATTAGAAATTATTACATGGTGCTGGGACCATTAATCCCGACCAATTACAAAGCAATACATAAATAATAAATTAAAAAACTGATTGAAAACGACATAAGTTGACACACATTCATTTTTGTGCCGTAATTGTCCTGGGACCATATACTACATACATATAGAGAGAGAGTGAGAGTAGCGTACCGGATGACGGAGTATATTTCTTCTAAAATTATATGCCAAATTGTTGTTGACTAATATGGGACAATGGTAACAAGTCATGAATTCTGCTTCTCCAGCTTCTGATTCCATTGATATGCTTTGCAATGCGCAGCAGTGTACACGCAATCCCAATAAATTTACTGCAAGGTCCCCAATAGATTCAAGCCGACCACAATCGTCTAACTGGAGGACCTTCAGTAGCGGAAGGGTAGAGATGGTAGCTGGTAGGTTGGAAAATTGGTTTCTGCTAAGATTCAAATATTCCAAGGACATCAATCTACCAATTTCGATGGGCACATGTGTTATATTGCAGTCGTTCATAACTATTTTCCTGAGGCTACTTGATAATTGTAACGACGAGAAGCTTGATTCAAGTGGCCATCTTTGAAAGTATGTTGGCCACTGTAATTTAGAGCAGCCCGACAGATTGACTTCAATGACAGACTTCAACATGAAAATGCTAAGGGGAATCTTCTCAAGATTCTGGCAGTTATTCAGATCCAAGACAAGAAGATTTTCCAAACGTCCAATTGACTGGTGAACCTCTACCAGCTTTGTACAACCATTAAGCAACAATTTCTCAAGACTGGTGAACCCCGTGAAGTCCGGAGTTTTGATCAAGAAACACGAATAACTGAGATAAAGGTATTTTAATTTGCACAAAACCTGTCAGGAACAATAGAGAGAATAAATTTCCATCGTTCTATAAATTATGTTTAAAGGAGATGAAAACAGTAGTATAATCGTACCTTAGTTCCTCTCCAAACTTGTTTGAGCTTGCTATAGCTCAAGTCAATGGCAACCAGATTATCCATAATTAAGGCTGATGGTATACATTTCAAAGAGAACCCTTTCCAAGATAGCCATACAAGTCTACCAGAGAGAGATCGGTAACTTCCACTTATATGGACAAAATCGAGTTGAAGCAGTCTCAGCCTCTCCATCTTTATAAATGCATTCCAATTTAGTTGTAGACGATTCCAATTGAATCGTAGTTCCGGCAAGTTTAGGACTAAGCCTTGAACTGCTTTTGTCCCCTGATGATAGTAAAAAGTTGTAGATAAAGAATATAAATACTTGTATATATATGTGAGATTGTGTTGAAAATAGGTTTGCATCCTAGATTGTGTGATTTTCATGATGTGTTGTGTGCAGAGGCATTTTCAAAGTGACAATATATGTAATCAATTAAGGTATTGGGTTCTTACAGTGTTATTTCTCAATACATTGAGAATGTCTTCATGAAACCACAATCTACTACGTTCACCAGGCTCTTCAGGGCATTCTTGACGGACGATCTCTCTAGCCATATCTTGAATTAGATCATGCATCTTCAGCTGGTTATGCCCATCAATACTTACAAGACAACGACGAGATAGAACCCCAATATCAGATTCCGGATAGAAATCACAGCCTTTTAGAATTTTGATCGGCAAATTTTGGTCCATTCCAACAAAAAAACATGCAATATCTAAGAATAAACCATTTTGTTTATCATCAAGTGCATTGAAGCTAAGTGCAAGTTTTTGTTGAACATCATGATCAGGAATCTTTTCCAACTTCTCCAATTTACCTTTCCATTCAAGTACAGTTTTGTCCGACAAAAAAGAACCTAAAATTTCAAGAACTAAAGGAAGCCCCTTGGCATAACTCACTACTTTCTGAGAGAGGTTCTCATAATCTTTTTCAGGACGATTACTCTTGAAGGCATGCCAACTGAAGAGTTGAAGAGATTCTTGCTCATTCAACACATCAAGCTCATACACCTCACTCACCTTATCCAATCGAAGCGAACTTAATGAGGACAAATCTCTAGTTGTTACTATGATTCTACTTCCACCACGTAACAAATCACGATTTATGGCTAATGCCCTCAATTGGCGCACATTATCCACGTCATCGAGAACAAGAAGAACCCTTCGATGCCATACTCGCCTTTTAATCACCTCAATACCATGATCCTCGCATCTTATTTTCTCATTTCCATCCTTTAGGAGATCAGAAAGAAGCTGTTTTTGTAATTTAACAACACCGTTGGTATCCCTAGAAGTTCGTCCAACATCATTAAGAAAGCTACTGCTTTGAAACTGATGAATACGATGTACGCGATTATACACTGCTTTAGCAATTGTAGTCTTGCCTATTCCACCAATCCCCCATATGGCAACAATCCTAACATCATCGCTATTGGACCCCAACTTTAGAAACTCACTCATTTGTTCAACACGATGCTCTATTCCAACTTGGTACTCCGCAACACTTAAACCCGTAGGGTTTAGTTTATCAGCCACGTCTCCAACAATAGAATTAATAAATCCCGACTCGCACCTGCCCAATTTTTATTGTTTAGGAGGGCAAAAAAATTAAACTAAGCAATTTTACATGTAGAGAGGTGAAAGAACAAAATAACTAGTAGAAAGTGATCATGTTTTAGATTTTCGTAAACTACACTTACACAGAGTTAAAGAGCCTCAAATAACATAATATTCTATTTTTAAAGTTCATTTATCACTTTAATTAAATTAAGCGAAATAATTACATATGCATCCAGAACTATTGTTCATGCCCAAAATATCTATTACTCAAAGAACAATCATTTAATTATCATGGTTGCTAGTGTACCATTTATTGAGGAAACCATCTAAATGTATTTTAATAAATGTGTACCAATTTGTTTTTTTCGGATAATAATTACATATGTATCAAGAACTATTGTTATGTGTATAGGAAAGTTCTTACATTTGCAGGTTTATATTGGTATGAATTAGGAAATGAGATTAAGGTTAGGTGCACAGGAAAAATTTCTATATATATATATATGATGACTGCTGCTAAATTGTTTGTTTTAAATTAACATTTGCAGGTTTGAATTAATATAGATTACGAAATACAGTGAAAAAATGGCACATAAAATTTTTCAAAATGTGTATCTATATATCATATAGAGTGGTGATCTCTTACCACACTGAAAAAAAAAAAAAAAAAAAAAATGGTATAATGATTTTAGATGAATTATGTCAAACATTTATATTCTCCTTTCTAGGATTTCTGTTGACCAGTCTTACAATTTTCTATTTCCTACTCAATTGAGGCACGATCATGTTACAATTTTCAGTAATTCTAGTTTCTAGGCAAGGAAAATCCCACGTAGAAGACAGATTTTTTTTTTTTTTTGGCCAAATCATATGTAGTGTGTAGACACCTCATTTTACCCCTATCCATTTGTAAGGGCATTTGGACAAAAAAAATCAATTGAAGATCGTAATCTGACAGCACTAATAACACTAATTTAGGCAAATTAAGAAAACAAAACAATTCGACGGCCAGATCATAAAATGAACATTACCATTAGGTCCGAAATGTCCAAGAACTTTTGGTTATTCCTAGACTTAAGTTCCTAATACAACTCCTGAAATAGTGGAACTCAATCAAGAAAAGGGCAAAATCAATATTTTGCACACCTTAATTTGATTTGACTTGAAAATTGGGCAAGTCTTAAATTTCAAATTAAAGAATGAATATAATAATAAATATAATAATATACTTGACACTAGTTCACAGTAGTCCGCAGCTTCATGATGTGGACTAATGCCCAAATCATAGATATAATGTCTATATATATATATTTATTTATTTATTTATTATCTATTGTGTGATTCATGCGGTGAACCAACAAAGTGATTCGAAGGTCAGTGTTCGCACTTCTAAAGCGCGAATGGAATCATAAAAATTGTTTTCTTGCTGTCCAAGGAAGGAACTCTATAAATACATTAGGCTGTGAGAAAAGGAAGAGAAAACCCTAAAAACGAGTCTATCCAATCACTCTCAACTTTCATTTAACTTACCCAAAAAATAATTTAACTTTGTTTATCATCATGAAATTATCATGATGATAAATAAAATTATCAAGTTTACGTAAAAACAACTAAAATTCTATTTTTCAATTCAAACATGAAATTCTAAATCTCTCAAATTTTAGGATTTGGTTCTATAGTAAGCTAGAAAATTAACTCTTTTAAATTTATGTCTAATAGGTCAATTTTACATACTTTCACTAAGTGTTTCCCTCCAGCTGGGAAGAGCGACCACATATAAGCATCCTCTTCTAAATGATTAGAAGAATTAGTGAGGTAATCCCATAAAAAATAAAATAAATATAAAAATAAAAAGGCCAAGTTGCAAGAACTGCCTGGTCATAAAAGTCTATATCTTTTAGAAATTAAAAGTTTTTAAAACAATATTTTCTTAAAATATAAATTTTCTAAAAATTACACCTGCTAAAAATAAATTTTCTTAAAGCACAAGTTCTTTAAAACTCCTATTTCTTAAAATAAAACTTTCCTATAAGGTATATTTCTTAAAATAAAACTTTCCTAAAATAGAATTTTCCTAAAACTAAAATTTCCTAAAATAAAACTTTTCTAAAAGTCACATTTCTTAAAATAAAACTTTCCTAAAGTAGAACTTTCCTAATTAAAAGATCAATTTTCAAAAATAAATTTTCCTAAAAGCCATATTTCCTAAAATAAAACTTTTCTAAAAGTGATATTTGCTAAAATCAAACTTTCTAAAAGTATGTTTCTTAACATATTTTCTATAGTTTTATTCAAGATCACCTTTTAAATTAAAATCTTTTAAAGCCATAATTCAAGGTCTTTTCCAAAACATTCTTCCAAAAATATAAATTATTTTTCAAGTCTCTTTTAAAATTCAAATTCAATCTTTCGAACTTGAAAATCATATTTTTCAAATACAAAGTCTCTTTTAAAATTTAAATTCTAATTTTTAGAGAACTCTAAGTCAACTTTCTTTGCAAAATAAGCTTTTCAAGAACTCTTTAAGTTCACTATTTTCAATTCGAACTTTTCAATAAATCTTGTTCAAGGTTACCTTTGTGCTAAAAGGTACACTCTTCCAAAAACTCTTTTTGAAAACACTTGTACAAATTCACTTTTTAGGTTCATATGTCATATCTTCAAAATCAAAGTTGTCTAGTACTCTTAAGTTCACTCTTTTAAATTAATTTTATAAAACTCTTATGTTCGATAATCATTCTCTTCAAAACTAAACTACTTTTCTAAAATATATATCTTCAAGAACTCTTAAGTTCTCTTTTCAAAGTTATTTCATTTTTTTTTTAAGTGACTCATATGTTCACCCATTAGTATTTTTAAAGTTTCGACTTAATTGAACTAGATTAGACCTAATTCCTATCATGTTATATTTAGATTTACGTATGCCTAGTAAGGCATAGATCATATCACTTTGGTAAGGTCTAACTTTTATCGTAATATTAAATCATGCATCTGTAGATGTTTTATTTTATATTTTATAAACGCTTTAACTTGTAAATATGACATGAAAAATAAGGTAACCGTGTTTCATGGATTTGTGGTCCGTGTGAGTGCCTAACACCTTTCTCATGCATAAGCAAACCACCAAATCCATTAATATGGTTCACCAAGGTTAAATGGTAGTCAAATATATCTAGGACCCTTAGTAGACCTCTTGTGTGTCAAAATAGTTAGATATTCTTACACCTTAGACATTCATTAATTAACCCAACACACCTTAATCCCATGTTAGGTGGTGACTCCAAATAAATATTAATCAGCCCTATTCATAGTAAGTGTAGGCTCTAGCCACTCTGTTGGATTAAGCTTCCTTTTACCCCATAAACATTTAACCTTAATCCTTAGAGATGGCAAAAAACCCGAGGTGCGACAGTGTACATTAGGTGCGACAGTGTAAAGAAATATTTCTTAATTTTAATTGAATATAAAAAGATAACAAAATTTTTGTTTCAAATTATTCAATGACTTAAAGACATTGATATATATAGTGCTTTTAGTATTCAAAAGTACAACACCCAATTTTAAATTTAGCATGATGAGTAAAAGAGTGAGCAGTAAGATAAAGTCATTCACCTCTAAAATATTCAAGGAAAGATTCTTTGATAACTACTTTCAGATTTTTTTTTTTTTTTTTTTTTTTTTTTGCCCTTTATTGTCTGTTTTTTTTTTTATCTTCCAGCAACATTTATAAAGTCACAAAATATTTTTTTTTATCAACCACGAAATATTGATTAATAATAGATATGTATATATTTTTAATATTAATTTAGGAAACTTTTAAATAGGGAGAAAACTGGTTTGGAAATTTTTAAATAGATTAAATAATAGTTTTGTCAGATTCGGAAAGGAGAATGGTGAGTTTGAAATACAACCGTAGGATTATATACAATGGTCATTGTCAGTGGTGTGGTGGATCTAGAGCTGCTCACTTTGTGTAACAACACAATTAAAGAAAATATACAGTTATACAAAAATAATCACTTAAATATTTTAAAAACCATGAATACTTATTAATTAATCCAACAAGGGCTTCATCCAAGCCCAATATCACATTCAGTAGTCCAACTTCTCTTAAGCCCAATCTAATTAATTAAAATAAATAATACAATTAAATTAAATCTATTAATTATAAATAATTCACAATTAAATCACACAAGTATAAACATATACATAGTCAAATAAACAACAAAATCTTGGCATTCCACAAAACAAAACATCACACCAATTCAACAAGTAAAATACAAAATCTAATTTAATTAAAAATCTAATTAAATAAAACACCAAATTAAATAAAACGCCCAATTAACTCAATCAAATTAAAAGCAATTAAATTAATTAAATAAATCCTTTAATTAAATAAAAAATATAATTAAATAAAACAAGATAATTAAATAAAACACCCAATTAAATAAAACACACAATTAACTAAATCAAATTAAAAGCAATTAAATTAATTAAATAAATCCTTTAAAATATAGGGGTATTATATTCTTCCCCTAACAAAAGGAATTCCGTCCTCGAAATTCACGAATCCATGAAATGAAAACTCTGGTTATCCTTTAATTAATAAGGACTCGCGGTTTTGAAGATATTTAAATGATTATTTTTGCATAATTATATATATATATATATTGGAACAAGGAATTTTATCCACGCCATGGACAATGACCACTGGATATAATCCTACGGTCATATTTCAAACCCACCATTCTCCTTTCGGACCTTTCATAATCCAATAAAACCATCATTGAACTTATTTAAAAGTTTTTAAACCACTTTTCTCCCAGGATTTAAAAGTTTTCTAAACTTACAAAATACATATATATTTTTTACCAACCACGAAATATTGATTAGTAATAGATATTTATTTATTTTTTGGTAATGTTAATTTAGGAAACTTTTAAACGGGAAGAAAAATGATTTATAAACTTTTAAAAAGATTAAATAATAGCTTTATTATATTAGGAAAAGAGAATGTTGGGTTTGAAATATGACTATAGGATTATATCCAATGGTCATTATCCGTGGTATGGATAATTCCTTACTCTATGGCGAGCAAGAGACCACCACTATATATATATATATATATATATATATATATATATATATATACCACATGCATATCCAAATGCTTTCCAAGTTGAAAGTTTAACTCAAAAATCTTATTTTTCTAAAAATTTTTGAGCAAATGAGTTATTTGATTTAAAAAAAAAAAAGGATAATTTGGTATTTTAGAGTAATAGTTTGGAAGGTATTTTAAACCTAACAAAGGATTTCAACACTTATGTAATTATTTTGCTTAATTCAACCAAATTAAAAAATCAACTATTAAAACAAACTACTTTATTTTACTCTAAATTCTACAAAGGGTGTATTCGGTTAGATGAAATTGAAGTCTTGGAATTGGAATTGAAATTTGAGAAAATTTTGGTTCAATTTTCTTAGTTGTTTTTTTCCAATTCCGCAAATTTTAATTTCAATGCTCCAATTCCATGCAAACCGAATACACCTAAGTATAATTTTTTCTTGGAAAGAGAACTTAGTACCGATTGGCCTCATTTTGCAGGACGTAACCGGACAAATTGGCAGCTTGAGTTAGAGCCAACCTCCATTTCTTCACCGATTCCAAGTTGAACCGCTTTCTGTGATTGGCAAATGCTTTTGCATAACAACCCCTCTGTGACCGAACGTCGGAGGGTTGGACGTCATAGAAGATTGGAATAACAATCTGATTGAGTTCCTCCTTGCAATTCATAATCTTTACAAGCTCATCAAGGCACCATTTTGAGGAAGCATAGTTTTCCGAGAATACAATAACAGAAATCCTAGATTGCTTAATTGCTTTGAGCAATCCGGGACCAATTTCTTCTCCTCTTCTGAGTTTAGTGTCATCTCTGAATATGTTAAAACCATGCCGATCCAAAGCAGCCAAGAGGTGGCCCGTAAATTTATTGCGAGTATCAACACCGCTGAAAGACAAGAACACATCGTAAACAAAGGAAGCTGCCATTTTGCAGAGCTCAAAGGGATCAAATAAAAGGAAAGGTTTGTGCGTAAGAGGAGCAGAGCATGGCCTTAACTTATATAGATCACCGATTACTTCTTTTTTCTTTGGGATTATTACATATAAATGGTGCTAATGACCTATATTTGCTATTTAATGGAGTCAAAGTCTCATAGTTTCGAAAAAATGAAGTTGACCAAAATGCTGACGTGGATATGAAAAAATACTGTTTACCCTCACTTAGGTATCACTTTTAAGCACATAGGTACCACTTTTTGTGTATCAACCTATCATGTATCACTTTTGTTTTGGGCATAGAGATACCACTTTTATCACATAGGTACCACTTTTATGTACATAAGTACCACTTTTTGTGTATCAGGTAACACTTTTTTGTGCAACACAAAAAGTAGTACCTGCATGCACAAAAAGTAGTACCTGCATGCACAAAAAGTGGTACCTATGTGTCTAAAAGTGGTACATCAGTCAGAGTAAACAGTGTTTTTTTATATTTTTATTTTTTCAAAATTTTGAGATTTTGACTCCATCAAATGATAAATATGAGTCATTAATACTATTTATATGTAACAATCAAGGGCGGATCTAGAGGTGGCATCTGGTGGGCTTGAGCCCACCCCCAAAAAAAAAAATTATTTTTTTAGTAGAGGTAATTTTAGCCTAGCTCAAAAAAAAAACATTAAAAATTAAAGTAAAAAATAGTAATACTAACCCATTTATGAAAAGATTAGCACACTCATTTATGAATAATAATCTCTTTTTCTTTTAACATTTTTTAATTGACAGAGTTGGTACGAAAAGATGATGAGACGAAAAAGAAGATTGATGCAGAAAATGACCTGTTCTTTTTCTTTTATGGAGTTGGTGTAGAATAAGAGGGAAAAGACAAATAGGTTGATAGAAAGGACATGTTTCTGTTTTACAAAATAGATAATAAATAAACAATTCTCAGATACTATAAACAAGAACTACTTTTGAAAAATTACCAACACGATGTTACGTGGGTTTGACGAAATAGGTTGCCCATTGATATGTTTTAACATTTTTTAATTGACAGAGTTGGTACGAAAAGATGATGAGACGAAAAAGAAGATTGATGCAGAAAATGACCTGTTCTTTTTCTTTTATGGAGTTGGTGTAGAATAAGAGGGAAAAGACAAATAGGTTGATAGAAAGGACATGTTTCTGTTTTACAAAATAGATAATAAATAAACAATTCTCAGATACTATAAACAAGAACTACTTTTGAAAAATTACCAACACGATGTTACGTGGGTTTGACGAAATAGGTTGCCCATTGATATGTTGTGGATACATTTACCATTGTTACATATCTTTTAGAACTTAAAAAATAAGTAACTAAATACAAACACATATATTCGGTATTGGAAATTCAGGTATGAAAATGATTTAAGCATTACATATCTAAATATAATGATGCTCATGCGATGGAATTTTACTAGTAGTACATAAAGACTTCAACATTAGGAAGCCTAAAATAGAATGAAAGAAATGTAAATTTAATAAATAGCAATCCAACACTATGGAATACTCAAAATCATCATTTCCAATACTTAGGATTGCTAATATAAACAATAAAATAAAAAATCAGAATAGATAATGATATTACCAGTGCAATTGGAGTAGGTTGAACCAAATGGAGATACCATTGTGGTATCTTATGTAATAAAATGGGGCGGAGTGGTAGGCGGCAAAAAACAAGACGAGAAGAGCGCATTCACGTAATTGAAATGAAGGTGAATGCAAGGGCGGAGCAAGGAATTTTGATTCGGGGCGCCAAATTAGTACCATGCAATTAAAATTTAAAAAAGTATATAAATCAATTGTAATCTTTACAATATTTTTGTTAGTAGTATATATACTGAGAAAAATACAATAAAAATGAGAAAAGTACAACTGAAACGATATAAAAGTTTATATTAAAAATATATAGAGAAGAGTAAATGATAAGTTACAGTCTATAAAGCACAAACACGAACAAGGATACGATACAACAAAAATATAATAATACGATAAATTGTTAAAAAAATAAAATAAAAAAGGACACAAACAAGAAATGGATACAACAATAAAAAAAAAAATATATATATATATATATATATATATATATATGTATATTTTTATTATATATAATTTTAATTTTTACTTAATTTCTAAACTATTTTTATAAACAAACCCATTCAAATTAGGTCTACCACAAAATTTTCTAAAATCATAGACCCAAACAGCCAATAAAACCATAGGCCCAAATTCCATTAATGTAAATATATGTATATATATATATATATATATATATATATATATATATATATTTAAGGAATTAAATTTTCTCAACAATGGTTTAATTTTTCAAACATTCAATTTTTGAATTTTTTTTTTTTTTAATTGAGTACTTTGATTTCACTTTCAGAAAGGCATATCATTGATTATTACCTTAACCAAAGATTCAGAGAAAAAATGAAAAATTACTACACAAAATTTATGAAGTTATACCAAAACACTATTTTCGAGAAGAAAATATTAAAGTACTTTTAGTAACTTGTACAAGGAATAATAATAAAAAATTTCATTTAGCCAATTAAAATATTTTAATATATATAATATTATTTTCCTACTTCGTAATGCTCCAAGACTTGTTGACAGAGGATTAATTTTAGAATTTTTTTTTTTTTTAAACACCATTTAACTAAAATGTTTGACAAGGAAATGAAGATATATGTATTTTTATTAAATACAAAGGGCTAGTAGTGTAATTTTTTCTTTACTGAATTCATATAATAGATATTATGTTATACATGTGTATATAAATGTAAAGGAACTAATGACATTTTACAATTAGGACTACCATAATAATGAATTTATATTAGTGTAATTTTTTCTTTATTGAATTCATATAATAGATATTATATTATACATATGTATATAAATGTAAATGAACTAATGACATATTACAATTAGGACTACCATAACAATGAATTTATATTTTTGTTTGACAATATTTGAGCTTTCAAAAGTAGATTAAAAAGGTTTGAAATTTTATATGAATTATGAGGACGCAAGTTTTATTATTTTGGAATTCATTATTTGGGGCTAATAAATTTTGTCAATATAGCAAAAAAATTTTTAAAAAATACGACACCTCCTGAAATTTAGACAAATATATATATATATATAGGCCACTGCCCCGTTGGTAATTTGGACAAATATTATATTGAAATATCTTTCGAAAATTGTTATTACTCACGTTTGATCCGTTTTTCACTCATAACTCAAAAGTTAATTTTCAATTGTGACTGATTACTATGTACAAAGACATAATTACCCCTTTGATTTTGCATTGAGTCACTTATAATTAAAATGACATTTCTACCCCTCTCTCTCCTCATGGTATCACTACTGATGTCAGACCATCTCCAATACAAAATGCCATTTTTGCAAGCCAAATCTATATTTTGAGAGGAGTTACATTGTCAAAATGCTATATTTTAGTAATTCTGTTCCAATTGTGCATTTAATCCAAAATACTATTTTTTAGCACAACAACCATTATTTTTCAACTACTATTTCCAATTACAATTTTCAACAAACATTTTTTTTTTTTTGAATGTTTGTATTTTATTTAGTTTATTTGCCTTATTAAAAATAAATAAATAAAAGCACTGACATATATATATATATATACAAACACAACAGACATATATATACACACAACAGACATATATATATATATATATATATATATATATATATATATACACAAGCCCAATACCAAATTGACAACCCATGCGAAAGAGAAGATAGAAGAAAGAGAGTAATAACAAATTTGACAATACCTATATATTGTGTTATATTTGACACAATATTTAACAAAGTTATATTTTAATAGTCCATTTGACATTCTATAAATTAACAGCCCATGCGAGAGAGAAGATAGAAGAAAGAGAGTAATAACAAATTTGACAATACCTATATATTGTGTTATATTTGAAATAGTTCATTTGACATTCTATCGAAGAACCCATTTTAAACTTGTATGTTCTATTTTTAAAATAGCAGCCGAAATAGAAGTCTATTGAAATTGCTCTTACATCAAATAATGACAAAATTAATTTCATTGTGGGCCAAATCAATTGACTAAAAGTTTGAAATTTCAGAAAAGGGTGCGGAAGTTTAGAAGATCAATAATGGCATAGATCGATCACCAAGCCCAAGCAAAGGCTAAAAAAAGAGGTATTTGATTACATTAACGACGCCTTCCCAGTTCCGACCTCGACGAGATGGACCTCCGGTGGGCCCACTTATCAGCAATCCACTTTTCCATAATTTTTTGTCACTTTATAGCGTTTCATGGTAAGGCCCATATAAGATATACTTGGATTCATAGTCAAGCAACCTCCCTCATGTAATACCTTTTTGTTATTATAAAAAATATAAATGTAACTTTCTACTTTTCCATAATTTTTTGTCGCTTTATAGCGTTTTATGGTAGAGCCCATTTAAGATACACTTGGATTCATAGTCAAGAACCTCCCTCATGTAATACCCTTTTGTTATTATAAAAAATATAAATGTACCTTTCTCGTTGGTCCTTAATTAAAAGCTTCACGCAATCCCCTAGAAAGACCTAAGCCTTGTTTGGAGTAGAAGCCCACAAACCTCTTCATTAGTTTGGAAAACGATTAAACATCACAAACATAAGCGTGTACGAGCACGGTTGAAATTACTTCTCAATTAAAATTATTTTTATTTTTAAAAATTATGTTTAGATGTATTTAATAATAGTTAAAAACACTTTTAAAAATTATCAAATTTAGCTCAATTGAGTTTATTATAAAATTAACAATAAAATTTAAAAAATATACGGAGTATATATTAATACAAAATAAATTAAAAAATAATTTAATTATGAAAAATATTTATTATAAAGACAACACTAACCTACTTACCAGTGAGTAGAAACATTATGT